TGACTGCAATCAAAAAATGGGCGAGTCAAGGCTGGACGCAAGAATGGTGTTTGTGGCCATGTGGGTGGGACGGTGCTATCAGCTCAGTGCAAGCAGCTGCGCCTGTGAGGAGAGCGTAGCTAGAAAAGCTCAATTTACTTGATGCTGATGTCGCGTCAGAAATTCAACAGACTGCCGCCAGCTATCGTGCAGCTGTCAGCGCCCGTGAGAGCGAGTTAGCCCACCAGCCTCAAGCGCTTGTGGAAGGACCTTCGGGAGAAAATATGACCGCTAGACCCCATGTCCACCTGGCACGCGGCTCCAACCCCAAGACAGAACATCTTGCCACCAACTCTGGCAAAATGCGTTCGTTTCCCCAAGAGGTGTGCTGTCTTTGTGCATTGGCCTCAACATGCATGGGCCCAAGACCCTGCACATGCCGCACGGGGATGTGTGATCTGCTTGATTGGGGGTATCTTGGGTGTCAAGCCAATGTCCAATGTGACAAACCGAGGAGTTGAAGATGACATATCGTTTTGGCCTAGCACATGCCAACAAGAGGAAATCATATTCCAGTCAAGTCACATCACCATTTCCACTATCTCACTCCAGCGTAACTTTTTTCCACTATGATGTGGGAAGCCCATATAAGTTGATATTTTTGCGTCACTTGGCAAGGAATAAATGCAGCAGCGGAATAGCATTTGGTAAGAAGGCAAGGGCCCAACATTTTGTAAAATGCACATTGAGCTCGCAGGAGGTGCGCATTTTGAGTTTCCATCTTGCAGCCACTTGCAAGTGGCTGCAAGTGGCTGCCCGAGCAAGTGGCTGCCAAGTGACTGCAAGTGACTGCTACTTCTGCCCGGAGAATATCATGATTTCTCCGCACGCAGCTCTGGAGAAAACCAAGATTTCTGCAATGCTGTTCTGCGAAGAAATCCCGGTTTTGTCCAGAGCTGCGAAGAAATCATGAAATAATCCAATATGTTTTTTCCGAGAATAAATCCCAAACTTCTGCAGAGCTAGCGACGAAGAAATCTTGCAGCTTTTACGTAAAGAACTCAAAGTGCGCGTGTTGAAGTTTACTTGCTTGAGTGACAAGTGCCTGCCAAGTGGCTGCCTGAGCAAATATATATTTGCTCGCTCTCTGAAAATGTTTGATTTTTAATATAAGAACTCATTTTGTAGGAGTTCCTATGGAGATAGCTTTCGGCTGGCACCACTCATTATGTAGGACTGTCATCAAGCGCATTCTGCAAACAGTAACAAGGTTTGACATGAACAGTTTGGACTTCAACATGTTGCTACCTTGGGACCATTGGACCATCATGTTTTCAATATTGCGCAACCATTTTCCACTCATTTTGTATAGAACTAACTTTATAGTTCTCTCTGGGTTTCAGTTGGATTTGGGATAGTATTCATGATTGTCATCGGTCTTGGTAGTTTGGCTCAACTTGTTGGGTCTTGCTGGTGTGTGTGAGGGCTGTTTGTTTGACCACTCGAATGCTGATAAAACGTTCTGCAAAATTTGATGGTTTCTGAAAGGGCCATTTGTGCCTACGGGACCTGCCGTTGTGTAGTTATGTGTTTTTTGAACACCTACTCCTTTTGTAAGGTTGAGGGTATACCCGTTGTTGCTTTATAATGCAACATGTTATAGGATAGGTAAGTTTGTGCGTTCCGAGCTGGCAATGGCATCACTGATGTTGCGCAGCGGCTGAGTATGTTTGTTCCCAACTCTTTTCGGACAGGCAAAGTTCTGACCGGCCCCGGCATTGAGACTGACGAGGTGGGGTGAGAAGCGCGCCAGTTGCATTTGGACCTGATGCCATTGGAACACGACGTACGCTATTGCAATGCCGTCATTTAACCTAGACACACCTAGACCAACCACAGGACAAAACCTGTGGCCAAAGAGGTGTTTTTACTTGTTTCCTGAATTGCTGTGCTAGAACTGTTGTTGCTTTGCACAGGCTGGCGTGATCCAAGGGGGCGGCAAATGGCCCAAGCGGTTGAGTGCGCTGTGCAAGCGGATGGTGGAGGTGCTTTCCTCGTTTGATCAGCTGTTGGGGTGAGAGTGGCACTGGACCGCCTGCAGCCTCGGCCACATGTGAGTTTTAGTTATGATTGACGTTGGCCATAGAAATGCCCTTGGAATTGTCCCAATGGTTGGGGAATTGTAAGCCAGGAGGGTGCGACTCTTTATTGATGTTTAAAGGCGTGCCGGGGTTCTGGATTTCAGACGCGGCTACGACCATATGGTGAACAGTGATCGAACCGCAAGCCAATCAGACTGGGAATCAATTTTGCAGCATTTGGGCAGCAGGGCAACTCCGTTTTTCCCTTACCGTGGCCTTAGCCTTTGCAGTGCCCCGTGTTGTGTTGGTCCCGCCCCCGTGATCCCACCACTAAGCCTGAAACAGATTAGCGATCAAGTCAGTTTCCGCGTTCCGAGGATGAAGAGGATGAAGGCACCTGGGCCGCCAGCTGGCGGAAAGGCTCCTTGGCAAGGACCTGCGGGCTAGCAGAAGGTAGAATTTTGTGGAGAGGCCAGTGAGGCCAGTGGAAATTGCTGCAAGTAGGTTTTGTTGTGGGCAAGCAGCACGTTGATAGTCAACTGATGTTAAAACTGTATGACCCGATGCGGAGCCCTGGCGCCCTGTCTCCTGCAGGACCTGTGAGGAAGACTGCGGCAAGGCCAAGTCCAAGCCGGCAAAGCCCAAAGACGGCAAAAAAACAAGAAAACAGACCCGCCCTCAGTGGTGTGGGAGTTGCCATTTGATGTGTGGGATTTGGGGGTCGTTTTCTTTTGTTCAAACTCGGGTTGAAACTTGCAGAATTAAGGACCTCTCCAAGCAGTCCAAGAGGCCGGACCGAGGCTGGGCCGACGGGTGAAAGCAGGAACTTCTAATGAGTCCAATCGGCTGTTTGTTTGATTGGTTTCCTGCGAGGGAGTATTAACTTGTTCGTTAGGTGATCCACGAAAGGGTGTTATTTTTTCATGTGGTGGTGCCAAATTTGGTGTTTGAGCTTCGAGGGAATGGAGGGCGTCATTTTCTCATGGTACAGTATGGCATAGCCATTGGCAGGAACATGAACACCCATTTGCACTGAGGCACCTCGCACAGGCCTCGAGGAACTTCCGAAGCCACCCTATGAACATCAGGCGGGTCGCTGCGGGCATTGTTCATGATCATGGGGGGCATTTACTATACCAGCGCCGCCCAAAGGTTGGTTCACAGAGTCGCTACAGTACAGGATGGTAAACACATGGTGAGGGGGGCTATGAACCACCTGTGCTGTAGTGGCAGTGGGTGGTGCTAGAGACCCGGTCGTGGCCGTTTGCACCACTCGGGGTCACACAGGTGTTGGTTGACGAACCTGAAATGCATATGGCCAGAGGAGCACACATAGATTCACGGGCTTTCGAACTCCATATTGTCCCTAGACGGACTTTGGCACGGCGACAAAAAACAATCAAATGAGTTTGGTGCATGGAGCAAACGCGATTCCACCAATGAAGTATAATGAAGTTGGCTGCCCAAAAAGAACACATGAACACATAATTAACATACTTATATATGATTTGTTCTGAACAAGGCAGAGTCATGTTGTTTGTTTTTTCCTGTGCTGGACTTTGCTGGGAAGGGCCATGGTCCCTACCCGATGCTTTGGGTTGACCAGTTGATGTCCAATGGAGATCCAAATAGTTTGGGCTTTTGGGATTTGTGCACTTGTGCCGGAATTTGCCACACCCAGGTGGTCACAGCAGAGAAGCCTAGTAGCAGCAGCGGTGGGTTTTAACGTGGCGGGAGGAAACAGGAGGTGGTTGACATGTGTGATTGTCCTATTGGTTGTGGATGGATCTGAAGGCACGAGCCTCAACTTGCCACAGTTTTTGGGTAATCCAGTCCCGTGTCCCTCATCACGTTTTAGCTTCACAAAGGCCGGTTGAGAGTACAGTAAGTGTTTTCGCGGATGGGGCTAGGTATGAGGACCGCGGAAGGACTTGAAAAGTGAAGGAACATGAGTCAGTGGTGTCCTTTGGTCTTTCAATGGTTTGCCCTCCGAAAGCTTGCCAATTTTTGTGGTGCAATCTTCCTGTGCTTCTGACTCTGATGGCCGAGGGTTCTCACTATAGTCAAGGCTTTCACAGAGCCAAGGCATCTATTCTGCCATCCACTCTGCAATGACCAATGGCAATGAACAATCTAGTGCAATCTATATCGCCATGAATGCTGGTTCATTGATCTCAGGAACATCTCGCTGATTTTCAACCCGCCGATCTTCCAGAAGTTTGCCCCTTGAAGAATTCAGCAGTCCAGGGCAGGCCAGTTGCGCCAGCAGATCCAGTTCTACCGGAAGAACCGTTCATCCCAGAGAGTTTTTGTGCGGCCATTGTGTCACATCCATACAATCACCCGTGTAGAGTGGATTGAGAGTGATGGCACAGACCCCAAGCGGTGGTTTATATGGACCCCCATCTATATAAATGACATCATGGGATTTGTGCCATATGACCTAGTTTGCATGTAACATCATGTAACTCTCTAGTGCAGCTAACTCGTAGGTTGAGAACATACAAGTCCACTGGCAGGCATGAGGGGCTCAGGTGGCACGAGACAGCACTTGAGTCACTCATGGAAGCTCATGGCTCATGGACCCCAACATTGACCGGGCTTACCAAGGACGCCACGCGTCATTCGCCGCGTGGCGATGCGCGCCTGTGACGGGAGGGCCGACGGGTGGCCAGCACCAAAGCCGATCGCCAAGGCTTTGGTCTTGTTCTTTGATACACAACCTCGGAGTGCACATGCTCTCGCTTGCTGGGAGTATGGTGCTCGAGACTGGGCGGAATTCGGACTTTGGAAGATTGAATACATTTATTATATATGTGTGTGTGTCAATTTGTTTCCACCTTTGGGAGGGCATTGGACTTCCAGAAGGGTGTAGGTTTGGCATGTTTTTCCTGAAATGGTTTTGCTTGCAACTCCCTCCTGAGTCATGTTTGCAATCTCGTTTTGGCTAAAGCATTCTTCGAACGCGCGCTTTGAGTGACAACGTCACTCGGACCCGCCTTTTTCCACATGGCAATGGCAAGTGGCTTATCTCTGGCCACTTCGCGACAAGTGACGCACCATTCCTTCGCCCAATCATTTCAGCGACCTTTCCTTCGCATGCAGAAGACTCGTCGGCTGAGCAATCTCAGCCGCCAGCTCTTGGCCTCTGCAGCGGGCGTTGGCGCCTACGGAGCCTGCCACGCGATGCGGCAGAGGCGCAGCTTCGCTGTGGCCTGCGCGGCGGAGGAGGCCACGGCGCCAGAGGCATTTCCACCGGCGGTGATTGTTGGCGGGGGCCGCCTGGGGGAAGCTTTTGCAAAGATGGGCCTGAGACAGGATGTGATCGTCAGGAGGGGCGAGACCTTTCCCAGTGGCGTGAAGAGAAGTGCAGCAGCTGTGTTATTTTGTTGTGTTTTGTTGATGTTTCTCCGTTTGTAAAGTTATACACAATATTTGTGCAGAACATGCCCTATCTTGAGAGGTAACAGATTGAAGAATAGAATTCACTGAAGTCGGAGTGTGGTGTGGTTTTCCTAAAGTCCAGATCCATCTTCTACATATAATTATATAATTCATATAAGACAAGGCCTGTACACTGTGCATGGTGTGGAACAACTCGGAAGGACCGCTGTCATCTACCTGAGGCATCGCTGTCATCTAGACAGGCAGGAATCGTCCATAAGATCTGGGTATGCAACATCGGGAGACCTCCCAGTTGGACCTGAAAACAAAAAGGAAATCCATGGTAAATACCAAAACCATCCAAAACCCATTTGGCCCAGGGGAGTTTCTCCCAATTGGCCCATGGCCATTTGGCCCGGCGCCCTCGGATCGGCCCAGGCGATGCTCCCGAGGGACCGATCTACGTGTGCACGCGCAACGACGCCTTGGAGGAGGTGATTCGCATGGTGCCCGAGGAGCGGCATGAGGAGACTCAGCCGGATGTGGGAGGTGAAAAGGGTCAAAGAACATGGACCTGCTTGTACTGCTCGTACTGCTCCTCTTGAAAAAAATCCTCGGATCGAGCACTCCTTCTGTCATGGCCGGAAAGGGGGAAAGCTGTTTGGCTTGTTGGTCGACTCACTTGCCCACTCAGGATTTAGTCTTCGTCCAGAACGGGGTTTTGATGCCCTTCTTGGATAGACAGCTGAGGCGGAGTGTCCAGGAAACTGAGATAGCAATGTGTTTCCGCTGCCACGTGGTTTCTTGCCACGGGTTTCTAAACATATATACGTTGCTTCTGGGGATTCACATGCTTGATTTGCACGATTAGTCGCAGAGATGCTTGAACTTGCTTGAATTTTATGCCCCTGGCACCCCCTGGCAGACCACTGAACATCCATGATTCAGCACATGACTCTTCGAGCTCATTGAGATTTCATTGAGTTAAGTTATATACACAGTTACTCGAATCAATGAATTTCAAAAACCCAACCCTGCCGCAATGCTTCACATATATCTTCACATCAGTTCAGTAGTAGAACTGGCAGCCATGACAAATGAGATCACATGAGCTTTGGCCGGACACCTGGCTCAAGAGGAGGACCGAACCACGGGCCGCCCGCTCGAGATCAGAAGAGTTAGAATAGATATAGATAGATATAGATAGATAGATAGACAGAAAGAGAGATATAGATATATATATATATATATGATCATCGATCCAAACATTGAGCACCACAGACTCAGATATGTCTCACCGCATCACCTTGAAAACACCGGTTCGGAACTCGTTTCCCGACGGCGGCTTGGGCGGAGAACGAAACCACCATGGGCGAAGCGAACGCAGCTGCTGGCTTGCTTAAGCAATGTCAGGCAGCTCATGCAGAGCTCATGAAGTTGGCCTACAGCGGCTTGGTTGTTCAGCAATGAATTTTTGATGATTTTTGATATTTTTGATGATATAGATCCGCAATGGGGTTTTGAATCCCCTTCCAGAGGGATTGACTTCGGACCATTTTGGGCAGCTTCCTGATCAGCACACTCGAGGCGAAGAAGCCCTTCTGGCCAAGTTGGAGGGTGAGCTGCACAAGTTGAGCATTCGACATGCCAGTCCGATCGTCAAGGCAGGCGTTTGCAGCCAACAAGAGGGGACGGACCAGCGTTCTCCGAAACCATCAACGAGCTCTTACAACATCCAAATCCTGGAAGCCATCAAAACAAACACAAAGAACATCAAATTATAGAAATCGTCATAACAATAACATTTCATTTTCCACTTATGTTGCTAGCTATGCTAAAATTTCACGTATGTTTTTCTTGCTTGTGTTTGGCCGCTGTACCTCTCCCCACCTCTCTCTACGGCACTTCTCACCCAGGTGAGCCCGGATGCCTCGCATGACCACTCGGAGGAGGTGTCGGAGGCCGACGAGGGCAATGCGCCACAGAAGCTCCCAAAGTTCCTGGGCTTCGGGCGCACCGGCACCAAGGCGCCCCACCGGTGGTAGGAGAGCTGGTGGAACCACCACTGGTGCCGTTTTCACAACCAGAGGCTGGTGGATGCTTTATTGGGGATGGAGAGGAGAACACAAGCAGCTGTTTTGGGAAGAGGATCCGAACTGGGGGGAGAAATGCAACAAACAAGCGCTTGAGAACATTGCTCCTGGGCCTTTTGTGGTGCAACTCCTCGTATTTTCAGTTCTTTTTCGGTGGAATCTGGAAGAGAGGGGGAACCCATGGTTTCGCCACTGACCTCCTCTCCGTGTGCCGTCCATTTCGACCAACAGTTGCAGGCCTTTGCTGCAAACGCAGGGGGCGAAGCATCGATGTCGACGGCCTCCAAGATGATGAAGGGGGATGAGTCTGATACACATCATCATCACTATAGCATCAATGGCATTGATGGGAGGCTGAGCTGTGAAAATTCATGGCTTCACAGTTCTTTCTCGTTGTTTTGGAGACGTTGACCTGTGTTGGAGGGCACCCCCTTCTTGTTTTTAGCATGTTATTCCTTGACTTTGTGACAACCGGGTGGCCAGGTAGATCCCAAAATGAGTAGGTCTTTAAATGGGGAGAGATATCCCAGGCGTTCCCACCTCCCAGCCTTGCTTTGGCACATCGACTCATCGACCCGTCTACATCTCCGCGGACGGGTCTCCACGGACATACACACCCGCGGCGTTCGCTGAGGAAGGAACGCTCCATGGTGCGAAATACCTTGACCAGTTTGATCAAGTCCAACTTCGCCACGGGTGACCTGGCAATCCGGTTTCTCCTCGGATCGGATGGACGTCCGATAACTTGCGTGTCCAGTGAAACTGGGTGACTCCCCTGGTATGAAACGATATGAAACGTATAGTTTCGCCTGGCAGGGCTGGACGGCAAATCTCCTAAGGTGACAACCAGTGCTCGTGCGCGGCTCGTTGTAGTCGTGCCTTCGTGTCCTGCTTGGTGGCCTGGGAGAAGTGCTTGACCTGGGAAGAGCCGCCACGACATGGATGCCTGCATCGCTTCGTCAACAGCACCACCTTTGGGATGGTGAGTGGGGCGGTGATTCTCTTGAATCTTGGAGTTTTGATAGATTTGGCGAGGTTTGGCAGATGATTCACATAAAATGTTGGGGCCGCTGCAGCCGGATGAACATGCATCATCATATAGATATCTCAAAACTCACGGACATAAATTACTACAACTGAAACATCTAAAACAAGATGAAACAAGTCGCAACCGTTTTCCGAGGAACGCGATCTTCATTTTCTACACCACAGATCTGGAGATGCAAAACATTGAAACTCCTTTTGACTTGGATCCCAGAGTTCAGATTGCGGAAGTTCTTTTGGCCTCCTTCTATGTGGTGGAACTCGTGTTGAAACTTATGGTGCACCGGCTCTTCTTTTTTTGGAACTCGGAGATGTCCTGGAACTGCTTCGATTTCATGTGCCTCGGTTCCGAACGAACGGGATTGTTTGGACTGTTGATTGAATAAAGCGCCCAACTTGGGGGCGCACTTGGGTGGTCAACCATCATCTCTATTTAATCATATAGTGTGTTTCATAAAATTCATATAAATTCTATTCATCAACCGTTCACATTAAAGGATTTGTCGAGATCATGGCACAAAAGGATTTGCTTCCGTCAATGGTATTGATGGAGGTCGGTCAGGTACTGGTGCTTTCACGGAGTGTGTGACATCAGATGTATAGATGAATGCTGGATGTCAAGCATTTTGTCTTTGGTGAACGAAGAGCATTTTTCCAGAGAGGCATAGGCATAGACGGAGGGAAAGCAATCAGAACTGAACTTGCTGTTCAGCTGTAGGGACAGATGTTTGCCTTTGGAGGTTAGTAGTCTTCTCCATCTTTGAGAACCTTTTCACCTTCTTAGCCTTCAATACTGGCGATGTTGCGGAAGAAAGCACGGGGAGCGGGGTGAACTTGGCCTTCCTGCGCTTGGTGCGGCTGTGCCGCATCGTGACTCGCTTGCACGGGGAGCGGCCGTGAAACTGCAACCCGCAGACAATCCCAGGACAGCCAGATTTCCGGCATATGCGTGGGGTGTTCGTGTTCAAGGCTTTTTGGACGCACACTGCCCATTTTGTTTGTGGAATGTAGCCCTGTATTCGATTGACAATATATATATAGTTATATATAATATATAGTTGATCTTGGTTCTCCGCTTTTAGACTTTTAAGTCACTCAGTTCAATGGATGAATGCAACGGACTTTTGCTGCTTCAATTGGGTAACCAACTCTGACTCTCACTGGAGATCACTGCAGAGTCTCGTCTTTTGCTTCCGATCTCAGATGATCTCTCTCACTTGTTCCAATTATTGAATATTGCCATGCTTTTATGTGGTTGTTCCACTCCCAAGAGCTAGGCTATACTCGATATCGTTGATCTACTCGATTGTTGAAAGCATCGCTTTCCACTTCCAAACACATCACTGGTTCCTGCGCTCATTGAAACCGAACGCGGAACAGAACCTTGGCTCAAGGTGAAGATCTTGCGGGTCTTCCGCACCTTGAAGTTCTTCAGCGAGCTGCGCTTGATGCTGGATTGCGTCCCTGGGTCCTGGGTCCGGGCTTCGGGGCGGTCGTGGCGTAGAGAAAGACCAGAGAGAAGGGGAGAGGGTGATGATGGACTCATCAAGTCTTGAAAGTGCGAAGCATGCAGAGAAGTGGCACCTTTTCGTCAGACCATGTTGTCCATGGAGTGTTGGAGTTGAATGGCCTCCGATCGGGTGTGCTTCAAATCTGTGAGTTGCAAGGTTTGAAGAGAACAAACAAATCTCACTTGGGGGAAAATAGGCCTCAGGCGTAGATGGCTTTACAACATCTCCGGTTTGGTTTGGTGTCACTTGGGGGACAAACACACTGGACAAAACACCGCACTCCGTGGTTGCTTCAGGTTCTTGGATCCTTGATGAACGTCATGTGGTGTGTCATCATGCTGGTCTTCGTGATGTACGTCTTCGCGCTCCTGCTGCAGCAGGGCATTGTCGAGCACCTCACCCTGGTCCACGCCAGACAGGAGCCGTGTTGTTTGCGTTGTGGTGCAGGTGGATGGTGGGCAATAGGAACGTGGATCTGTTTCAGGGCAAGGCAAGTAAGTAGTCAGTCATACAGGGTAGGGTCAGGCAACTCATGCAGCTAGCGGTGTGAAGTTCAAGGACCCAGTTCACCAGTAGTTTAGTAGTTTCATCGAAAAAAAGCATGGCATCGTCATGAAGCATGGCCCCTCCTTCAGTTTGTCAGTGGTTGCTTCATGTTGCTTCCCTCAGTCGTGTGACCTGCTCAGTGCACATCAGTCGATCGCAGGATGGTACGGACGTCGAGCAGTTGACGACCTACTTCGGCTCGGTGGGCTCGACGGTGGTGACGCTCTTCCAAGCGTCCACGAGTGGAGTGGACTGGAATGAGCCCTACCAAGCATTGAGAAAGACAGGTCGCTTGGTCCTGAGGACGGGTGGACTGACCCCGGGTGGCCGATTTCGGCGCACATGACATACAGCACATTCACAATCATTCACATGTGTGCCAACAGCTGGATGATGAGAGCAAAGAAGCAATTGACCTACAAATGCCCACGAATTGTGGGTTGACAGCTATAGTAGAGTCGCCTGCCGCCTTGTTGTCCTTGCGAACCTATTCTATCGTTGCCCTCCAGTTTGCTCTTTTTGATGGAACTCTTTCAACACAGGTTGTTTCTCCATC